GTATATCATGACTTCAACACAGCGCCCCATGGTATCCTGATTAACAAGCTAACTAGGTCCACACCTGGATAGATCAAGTGGGCTGGATAGATCAATTGGCTACAGAATCATACTCAGAGGGTGATGATTAATGGGTCCTTCTCTAACTGGGAGGAGGTAACAGGTGGGGTACCCCAAGGCTCAGTCCCGGGCCCAGTGCTCTTCAATATTTTTATTAATGATTTGGATAAGGTAGCGCAGGGAATGCTTGTCAAATTTGCAGATGATACCAAATTGGGCGGAATAGCTAATACCCTAGAATAGGGGTCTCCAACCCCCGGTCCACTGCCTGGTGGCAGTCTGTGGCCTGGGCCGCGGAGACAGATCTCCCACCCCCGCACACACTTCCCCCAGCACAGCCCCTTTGCACATGCATGCGTGCACACATGCCCCTCCGAGCCCACCCACCCCTTCACGCATGTGTGTGAGTGCACCTGCGCATGCACGCAAGTGCACATGCACCAGCACAAGTGTCCCCACCCCTTTGTGTGTACGAGCACAGGGGGTGCTCCGCCTTCCCCAAACACAAAGCCTGTCCTCCCCCAACCTGTCCACAGTATCAAAAAAGTTGGGGATCACTGCACGAGAAGATAGAAACAAAATTCAAAATGACCTTGATAGGATGGAAGCATTGGGCTGAAAGCAACAGAATGAAATTCAACAGAGATAAGTGCAAAGTACTGCACCTCGGAAAAATAAACCAATTGCACAGTTACAAGATGGGGGATACCTGGCTCAGCAAAACTACAAGCAAGAATGATCTTGCTTGTCATAGATCACAAGCTTAATATGAGCCAACAGTGTGTGATGTGGCTACAAAAAAAGGCAAATATTATTTTAGACTGCATTAATAGAAGTATAGTTTCCAAATCCCGCATGGTACTAGTTCCCCTCTATTCAGCACTGGTTAGGCCTCACCTTGAGTATTGTGTCCAGTTCTGGACACCACAGTTCAAGAAGGATGCTAGCAAATTGAAACAAGTTCAGAGGAGGAAGACAAGGATGATTAGGGGGCTGGAAACCAAGCCTTATGAGGAAAGACTGCAAGAACTGGACATGTTTAGCCTTGAGAAAAAAGGCTGAGGGGTGATATAGCACTTTTCAAATATTTGAAAGGCAGTCATACAGAGGAGGGGCAGTATCTGTTCTCAATCATCCCAGAGTGCAGGACACCTAACAATGGGCTTGTTAGGGGGAGCCAGATTTCGGTTGAATACAGTATCAGGAAAAAACATCCTAACTGTTAGAACAGAACAATAGTGGAACCAGTTACCTCAGGAGCTGGTGAATGCTCCAACACTGGAGGCATTCAAGAAGAACTTAGATAATACCTGGCAGATATGCTTTGATTGTATTCCTGCACTGAGCAGGGGGTTGGGCTGCAGTCCATGGAAACCTATGTCAAATACAAAGGTTAGGCCAGAAGTCAAATTGCTGCAAGCACAGGGTAGGTGCAGACGCAGCTCCAGCTATGAATAAAGTCTGGTACATTTCTGGTCATGTGGAATCACACCTCACCACAGAGCTTCAGCCATTTCTGCAATTTTGCTTGCACAGAGTAATTTGCATAGGCTACTAGCCTTAGTCCTTATGCTGCCACAGGACTTGGTTGCTTTTGCTGCAACAGACTGGCACTGTGTAGTTTTCCTGTGTTTTCCCACAGGTTTTTTTTTAATCTTAGTTTTTCTTCCTAGAAAAAATACATTAAGAGGACAAAGCCTGAGAGGTATTGTACAATGCATTTGGATTGGTAGCACTGGGAGTGCTCCACCTCAACAGTCACATAGCCAATTCAACCGGATGGATATTTATTTCCAGGGAGGGGAATCTGTAATTCCACAAATATCTGCTTGAGCAAATGCATATGGCCCTTATGAACTTCCAGTTCACAGGGAGTAATTTCTGTGCAATTTATTTAACAGAAGCATGGGTGTCGTATGTCTTGCATGTACGACAACTGCATGCCTAAAAGTGCCTGCAGTTTACTTCAGGCTATTTGGAGATACATGTCCTTGAGAGAAAACCCAAGAAATCTGAAGAGTTGACTGTAGTTACTCAGGTGAAAATCTTTCTGCATCTGTTTAAGGGATTTTATTTCACCTCTTTAAACTATCATTCTTATAATTCCTCTGTGCCATCTCTGTGGGAATGTGCAAATAATAGTAACTCTTCCCAGAAGCCTGCTGAAGTATCCTTACCTGGCTGTTTGAGTCCAAAATGGGGCTCCTGTGAAACCCTTTGGTTCCATCCTCCATCCTCTGCTGACTGACTTGGCTGAGGAAGAGGAAGGACCTTTCTGCTTGAAGGATTCTGGAATTTCCCTACCATGACAACATCAGAGGCTAGAGCTTCTGTTTCCACATCCCTAGACTGGGAGGGGCTTCTGGGCAGCTTGCCCTGCTCAGAACAATTTATTAGCGTTGCAGGCCACAGCTCATTCTGAGCGTCAGAGCTTGAGTGGAAGAAAAGGACATATCTGGGATTTGGTCTTATGCAGATCATGATCACTTCGTTACTAGAACAGAGAAATCGATAGTGTTACAGTATTTTGTCTAACCAATGGAAGATAACACTTGCTAGTATACTTGAGGTAACTATAGATGTTAAGTTACAACTCATCCAACAAAATGCCATGTTTGGAATACACTGGACACCACAACATCTTATCAGGAAGGGTCTGAGCAAATCATCTAAATGTTGATCCTTTGATTCCCTTAAGACATTTCTCAGTCATATGCTATGGTCATATCCATTTGTGAGCACATTTTGGTGAAGCATGTCGCCCTGGCAAGCTGTACAGTCCCAGGATGTCCCCAGAAGAAGGAAATGGTAAACCATTTCTGAATACTCGCTACTTAGAAAACCCGAGAAAGGGTCACCATTAATCAGAATTGACCTGAGGGCACACAATTACTGTTGTTTACATTAATTTTATATTGGACCCATCCTTGACCTTTGTTGAGCCTTGTGTATTTTTAAATTACATATCTGCTTCTTGGAGATTAACCTCCAGCCAGAGTAGATGGGCTCTCCATGCCATTATAACTGCAAAAAGACTTATTTTCCAACATTGGAATGTTAGATGCCCACCACCAGTTATTCAGTGGGTAGAAGACTGTACAACCTTATTGACATATGAAGGTATGACATATGGATGGCAACTATGCATGGATATATATTTAGATATTTCAAAGCCTTTTATACAAGCTATGTACAGACACAGCTGTGTTTTGTTTTCTTCCTCCTTTTGGCCCCCCTTTTTTCTTTTCCCTTTCCTTAAAAAAAAGAGAGAGAAAGGATCTATTTATCTACACTGTCTTGCATGACAGCTCAAGGGCATAAAAATGAGCAACTACAGCGGTAGGGCAGGAGTGAGCAGCTGGGGTGAGGAGCAGTATGGAGGCTCCACCGATTACCAAAAATGCACCAAAATCCAGAGTAAGTGGGTGGAAATAAACCAGAATGGGATGGAAATTCAGCACCTGATTTATAAAACAGTTATTTTGAGATGTTGCCCAATACAAATAAGTCCTGTGACTTATTTAAAAGGCAAATTGTCACTAATGGAGACTCCTGGGAGCTAGAAATCACCATCGCCTGCCCAGAAAAGTAGGAAAGCCTGCCCCCCCAATTAGATTTGGGCACCCATATGCAGCCACATGGTAGGGTAGAGGATATGTAGCTGTTGCTCTTTTTGGCTGTACTAATTGTACTGATCTTGCCTGCCCTTAATCTGCGGTGTGATCAATCCTTATAAGGGTGTATTTTTTCATGCTGGCCTATAATCTGGCTAAAGTTTGTGCTACCTGAGCTTAGCTTGGATAGACCAAAATATGAGATTATTGAAAAGTAGCAAATCTCTACTGTGCTGCCGATATTGACAGATGAGGATTACTTGAACAGATCTTGTCTGTCTCTGCTTGTTGTCACCCACTGGTCTCATAACAACCCTGAACCAGCAGTTCAGCTGTTGGAAGGACACAAGCGCTCCTCCCTTTTTCACACGACATGTGAATCAGCTAAACCAGAAATACAAGTAAAGAAAGAGGTGGAGGGTATAGAAAGGCAAACAAAGTGAAAGGGCAGAGAAGGAGAAACCACAGCAGAAAACCAAGACCAGGAAAGTCGGTGTTTCAGGAATCCTAGAGCAGTAGACACTTGTTACAGTGGGGAAATGGAAGAAGCAGAGGTTGACACTGATGCCCTTATAGATGAGATGGATTATATTCCAGGTCATTTTCACCTCGATATGAATTTGAACTTTGAGTCCTCTGTACCTATGCATTTCCAAGGGAGAGACGTGAAGCTGAAACGAGAAAGCCTTGTCTATGAATTAGAGTTTGAAACCGGCCTCCAGCAGCATGCTGTCAGAAACCTCCTCGGAGTCTTTTCTTTCTACTTGGAAGAGGTAGAGCAAGCCAAGGAGATTTTCCTTCACATCTCTCAGGAGGACCCAGAGAATCTAAATGCTTGGGCCAACCTGGCCTTTGTTTATGACAGGCTGAATGAGGAGCAAGAAGAGACAAAGTGCACAGACAGTGTTTCCCGGTTAATGGGCTTGGATACAGAAGGCACGTCCCAAGGGGATCCCCAGCTCAGGGCAGCCCGTTGCTTAGCCGAGCAGGGTTATGCTTATGCCTTTGATGTTCGGCTGGTGACCGAAGAAGAGAAGATGGAGAAACTGACCACGGGCCTCACTCTGTATGGCAAGGCTCTTGCTTACGGGAAGCAGGTGGGTAGACAAGTGTACTGACTTACACTCCTTGCTGTTAAACTGTGGATTGAATGGGAATATTATCAGATAGATTCAAGGAACTACCCAGAAACATGAGAGAGAAGTATGGTTACCTGGGAATTAGATTGATACAGTACATACATTTTCCTTCTCACTTTCTCCTTCTGGAGGCTGACCCAGCCTACTTTCACACTGGAATGGTTTTAGAAATGTGGGTGCAAAATGTTATACTAAGCATATAGCTTGTAAATGTTTCTGTTTTGAGAATTCCCTAGCTGATATGGCCACAAATCATGTTGACTGAGGGATTCAGGAAAAAAGTAACTTTTCCACACTCTGAGCTACTGTAAAAATGGCCTCTCAAGGATGCAGTCTGTAAAAAATAAAGAATTTTTTTAAAAAGCACAAGAGGGAGAAGAGCCAACATCAAAATGAACAGAGGCAGAAACTACTGTATGGGGATGACCTGGAAGCTGATTGTTAAGCATAATTTGTCCCAGATCATCTGGGCCCTAATAAAGGTTCTGCCCACCACAGAGCTTTGAAAAGTGACAGAATTCTCCAGCCAACATGGGTGCTAGCTATGCTGGCTAGAGGATTACTGGGAGTTGTCGTCCGTCCGAAATTTAACTTTTCCAAGCTCTTTGTTCATCTTGTGGTGCAATGTCTGCCTATCAGCTTCCCATATAATGTATTTAGATACCTTTCTCACAGAAGAATGCATATTTTACAATCAGTCAGTCAATCAACCAATCAATCAATCAAACAATCAATGCAGCATTTCCAATCTCTGCCTTCTAGGACAGGGGTTCAGGGGTTCTTCAGATCATTAGAACAGTGAAGGAGAACATGTGGCCTTCCAAATATTGTTGTATATCACAACTTCTCTCATCCTTCATCACTGGCTATATAGGTGAAGGCTGTTGTGAGTTGACAATGTTTAGAGGGTGACATGTTCTCTCCTCCTGCATTTGATGATTTTGAAACTCTCTATTTAAAGTTAAAACAATAACAGGGAGAGTAAGGGTTCTGTTTTAGAAGAGAATCGTGGCTACTAAAATCATCCGGGAAACATGGTCATGCATGTCATGCAAGGCCAACAATCTCCACATCCTTTGCTTTAGGATTAAATGATGCTCCTCTCATCACTGGGATGGAAAACAATGCTTCTGGTTGTTGCCACACTGCTGGATTTTGACTGTCAGGCACAGCCCATGGTGGGGTTTGGGACAGAGAAATTAGCCCCCCTGCCTAACAATAGCCCAGTGATTTAGGTATCCGGCTGCAGAGCCAGAGATTGGGAGTTCATTTCTCCACTGTGCTTCTTGACACAAGGGGCTGGACTTGATGATCCACAGGGTCCCTTCTAGTTCTGCAGATTGTTGTTGTTGCTGCTACTGTTAGAACTAATTTTTAATTGCTTGTGGACCCACCAGCTCTCCCAAAATTATGTATAAAGACATCAATAAAAACATTTTCGATAAAGAATGTTTTTAAAATTTAAATACTGTACAACTTTAAAAGAATGAAACGTTAAAAATTTCATGCAAATCTCCATTCTCTTTTGCCTTCTTTTCGTTGTGGTACAGTATTTATGAAAACTGGCCGCCTTTACCCAGGTGGATTTTGGCTAGAAAGGCATGGACATTCTCCTTGCAAAACTTACTCTCTGCAACTAAGCTACTGTCCATGTTCCAAGAAGTTAGCAGGTAAAAAATGGGAACATTTCAAAATGCTGCTTTGCTCAAATTTTCCTTCAAGAGACGGGATAAATGGAAATTAAAAAATTACAGGATACATCACCCTCTATACAGATTTTCTGAGGTGGTATACATATGGCTTTAGAAAGATCTCAGGATGTTTGGGATGGAGAAATGCGAGTCTTGTGTTTATTAGAACATTCAGCCCTATTAACCAAAGCAGTTCAAATGTTCCACCAAGTCCTTGAGCAGCTCTGTCCCAAATCCAATATCCTATGCATCACTTTCTAACACTTCTCTGATTCAATGCTTTTGTTATCATTCTAGCCTTCTTATTCAGGTTGTCGAAACAAAGGTGCAACCTCTGTACACCCAATTTACAGTCCTTTCAACAACAGATCACAGAAAAAAAAGCAGGTGGCTGGACTAGAATGCTGTTTGCCGTAGCAAAATGTTTGCACACAGGGCCGGGTCCATCTTTATTTTTTAAACTACAGCAGCTGAGCATCCAAACTTCTTAGGATATCAGAAAAAACAGGAAAAGGAGATCGAAATGACTGTGGAAAGAAAAACAACACAATCAATAATTACTGCTCAGTCACTTTAAAAATGTCGCTTTTCAAGTTACTTAGCTTGAAGCGTTTCTGGAGCAAGAATGCTTTTTCTGCTTCTCTGTAATCCTGGTTTCTTAGATCGACACAAGTTAAAGAAATTTTCATTGATGACCGTTACAACTTGTAATTGATTAAGGAACTAACTGGTCAATTAAAATTTGCATGAATCAGAAAAAAATGGCATTTTCTTGACAGATCCATAAATGTGGTGGAAGGATATATGTTTTGGATCCAGTGTCTCACAAGAAATTCACAGTGATTTCATTCATCTTTTAAGTCTTCAGAATCAAACAGAAGGTGTGTTCTCCAGGATGTCAGGAGGAGAAACTCCACCAGTTTCCCTTTCTCTAGTATTCACATTTTTCAACCATAAGTTTTTTACATCCCAAATATGAAGGTGCAAGGGTTAGTAAATTCTAAAACAAAATAAAACAAAAAAACTCAGAAAAACAAACTTTCAG